ATTATTTTCAAATTGATCTGCCTTTGTTTTTGACTTCATTCCATAAATTAGTATTTGGAACTTCAACTATCTCACTTAGCCAATTCAAGAAGGGAGGAAGCAACTAAATAAATCACGTTCCATTTTGTCCTGAAGAACCAAGGTCTATATTAATAAAGTTCTCATTAAAATATGAATAAACAGCTATAAAAATAACCCACTGCACATATCTTTGTGAAGTAAACACACAGTGAAATCTGCTTATCAGAGATGCTTCAAGTGAAGAGGTTTAAATGGCTTTGCAAGATATTCTATCGGAATTAGCCTGGAGAGAGAAACAGAGTATTAGGAAATCAAAAAAAGAGTGGTTGTGCTCCTTTATGATGAGCAGTTGATCTAGTCTAAACTGCAATCATCTCCTCAATAATATAATGGTGAAGGATTCCAGAACTTCACAACTGAAAATGTAGGGCTCAATTATATTATTATTGGTATACACACCCATCTTTGTTAATTCTTACAAAACCAATCCAAGCATGTTGGCACAGAATGCTCTCAATGTTTCATCCCCAGACCAGTAATATGAGCATCATCCAGCAAATTGTTAGAAACAAAAAATTCTCAGAACCACCTCGGACCCACAGAATCAAAACCCCAGGGAGTGATGCCCACCAATCTATATTTTGACAAGCCTTCTAGGTAATTCTGACGCATACTCAGGTTTGACTCGAATTCATCTTCCCCTAGCACACAGAAACACCAGGTGCCCCTACTTTTGTGTGAAGTCATACTGGTGTCTCTCCTCCGTGTCCCATTAGCCCACCTGGGTATGAGACTTCATTCTCTACCTCTCTTAACAGGGCCATGATAGAGACTGCTATCCTCAGGATCCATTCATTCCTTATCCCTTTTACTATTACAATCATCACCCACCCCATTCCACCACAACTTTTAACAGGTCACAGGGCTTTCCAGCAAGAAATTACATATCCAATCCTCTCTTACCTCTAGAGATGACTATGCAAATAATTAGATCAAGAACACATGAATGGAAGTGATGCATTCAACTTCCAGATTATATCTTTTTAAAAATCCCAAACAACCTGGTTGGCCTCCCTCCTTCTCTCCCTCCCCTCTCCCCAACCGGAATGCTAATATGGTTATTTGGCCCTGAGGGTGAGGACCACATTGCTCTAATAGAGCTGCAAGATAGAGGACACCTGGGTCCTGGGACGCTCCTAGATCAGAGCTGCCCCAAGAACCTCAACTACATTCTTCTGGACTGTTAAGCGAGAGAGAAATAAATACACTGTGATTTTACTGCTCTCTCTCTCTCTGTTACAACCTAGCCTATTTCTTTAGTGGGCAGAGCTTCCTTCCTAGAGCTTCAATCCTATTTCCTTTCCTAAGGCTGAGATTTCATGCTTCATTCCCATAAATCCACCTTTTATATATATTCCCATCCAAGACAGTTGGCACTTTACATAAAGGACTTCTAGTCATACCTGGGTTTGGTAATTTGGACCAACTTTCCCACTGAGGACCTCTACAAAAGCCAGACACATCTACTTAAAGTCACTGAAGAGGTAACAAGACAGTTTAGATAACTAAGCTGAGATAATGGAGAAGAGGGAAATCCAAAATGGTACATTTGGGCTTGCTTTTTACCCAGGCATTTGACAATTCTGGAAGAGGTGACTGAGAGGCTGAGCAAGATTTCTGACAGCCTTGAATGGGCTAAGGAAATTTTTAAAGAAAGAGAATCAGAGTCCACCAACTATGGGAGAGAGGTGCTGCTAACCCCCACACTTGAGACGGGGACACTGAAGACTGCATTCCAGCATAGGATGAAGTGTAAGTAGAAGAATCCTCATAGGATGCAATCTAGCTTTGGATCATGGTAATCACCCGAAATTGGATTAAGGTAATCCTGGATTACGAGGCTTTCTAGGTCCCTTCTTAAAGCAAATGTAATTCCTCTCTAGAGAAAGATAATATTTTATAAACCTCAAATCACTTCTACAATTTTTTCAAATAACAATGTCTGGCACAAGATTAAAAAAAAAAATAACCAGGTGTCATGGTGACAGATACACTTGTGGTGAACAGAGCATAACATAAAGTATGTTGAATCACTATGTTGTACACCTGAAACTAATGTAACATGTGCGAACTATATAAAAAAAATCAAAAGAAAAAAAAACCCATGTATTTAGAGACAAGACTACATGAATAATAACAACTACTACAAAATGATCAGAAAAAGAAACAACAGAAACATACCTGGAGGGTTCTGGATATTGGAGCTACCGGACATAGGCTTAAAAATGACTATGCTCACAAGGTTAAAAGAGACCAAAGACAAGACTGAATTTCAACAGGGGATCTGAAAATATTAAAAAGGACAGAACAGAGTCTATTTTTTTCTAGAATTTCTAGAATTCTAGAATTTCCGAATAGAATTAGGAATTTCCTAGAATTAGGAAACTGTGGGCTGACTCCTGTTCATGGAGAGAGATTTTGAGATCATCCTCATTTAAATCCCATGAACTGGGCTCTCCACAAGAAAGGTGAGTAGAGAGAAGGAATGCTGGGCCACCAAGAACAATCACTACCCACCAGAGGGATTTATAATGACAGGGACAGAGAGTGGATAGCTAATAAAATTAAACAAGGGAAATGTCAACTCTCAGAAAGTTTCCAAATTAAACCCATCCTTAGTAAAGAACTTTAGGGACCTACATTATCCTCTATGCTCAGCCAGGGTTTTTTTCCTGCATGGCCCCTGATTTTTGGTTTTTTTGTTTCTGGAAATCCCAGACCCCATCTGCTCTCCACTGTTCTGCATTCAAAACCTAAGCTCCCACAACTTTCCCACTGAGTCATCCAGTGGAAGGAGCTTCTGAGTCAGCAAATGGGTTGATGGAACAAGCCCCTGGGCACTTCCCCCCAACCCCTCCAAAGACCTGAAGTTATTTCCTCTCCTCTGGAAATAACAGAACACATCTCCACTTCCTCTTCTTTCCCTTCCTCCCCCACCTTCTCTCTACTGCCCTGTACCCACCAATGGACACAAGGACTGAAAGGGGACAGAGAGCTTCCCAGGGCTGCTGTGAGCCTCTAACATTTAGGCTTACAAAGAGGATCTCCTCCCATCTCCTGAGGGAAGGAAAACCCCACAGGGCTGTGGTTGAGAGGGAAGGGGACTGGGTCCCCCAGGCCACAAGTTGGGGACATAATGGAAGCTCCTCAGCATGATGTTGATATTTATTTAACCAGTGATTAGGTATAATCCACCAAGTGAAATCAGTTATTTGTGCAGTATCATGGTGAATCTGCACACATTTTAAATGTATTCAAATATTTTGTATTCTGGAGCGCCTGGGAAGCTCAGTCAGTTAAGCATCGGACTCTTGATTTCACCTCAGGTCATGATCTCAGGGTCACGAGATCAAGCCCCTTGTCAGGCTCCATGCTGGGCGTGAAGGCTGCTTAAGATTCTCTCTCTCTCCTCCCTCTTCCCCCTCCCCCCTTCAAAAAAAAATGACTCAGGTGGTATTGTAAATATATATTTACTGCAAAAACATCTATACAGAGGTGTATACAGAGCTAAAATTAAAGGACTTCTTCACTCCCCCCACCCCTAACTCATTCCTATTTCCCAGGGGTATTTGTTTCTAACATTAAAAAAAAAAAGCCCTCTCCTCTATGTATGTGTATACACGTGTATGTTTCTCCAATCCGTACCTAGGATGCTACCCTACCTGAGGGGTATCAAATGTGTGTTTATTCATTTCTTTAGAAGTTCCAGCTACTGCACTATCTAGGCTACAACAGAAAAGTCACTTTTAACTCTGTCATCTATTGCCATACAAAAAACCACCGTAAAACTTAGTGACTCCAAAAACAAACCAAAAAACTCACCACTTTTACTTCGTTCACGATTCTGTAGTTCAGCTGTGCAGGTCTTCCGATCTGGACCAGCTGGTTCATCCCTGTGGCCAGTTGGTGGGTGAGCTGGAGCTCTCCTTCATGTTGGGCTGGTTGGCAGCTGGGAGGTGTAAGGCCCCTCAGCCGTCCCAGCTTGTCCCGGCTCCACGTGGTCTCACACCCTCCAGCAGGCTAGCGCAGCCTCATCCCACGGCGATCTCAGGGCTCCCAGCAGCAAAAGCTGCCAAGCTTCCCAACCAGCGCTCTGGGCTTCCGCCCACGGCACGTTTGCTAATGCCCCATTGGCCAACGCAAATCACGTGACCAACCCCAGCTTCTGGAGCCGACAAACAAACGGGCTCGCTTCTTGATTGCAGGAGAAAACTACATTGCAAAGGAGTGTATGGACGGGGGTGGGAATTTGAAGCCTATTTAAGCCACCAGACTCCTTGAGGGCGTGTGTAGGGCACCTGGGAATTCCTAGGGATGTCTCTCCTAGAAGCCGTATCATTTGGTCAGAAGCGCAAGTAGCTCCGTTGTCTTAGACCCTTTGGGCTCTGGATGTTTAAGGGAAAGGTCTTCCCTCAAGTGCACGACCTCAGGAGATAAGGCTGACAGGAGCTCTAGGTCTGAAAGGTCGTGGATTCTGGGACCTGGACTGGGGCAGCTATGATGGGAACTGAGGGGGGCTAAGAGCTGTATCTTCATGATCCTAAGAGAGGGGCACTTAACAACGAGAGTGGATGATCCTCTTTGGAAAGCCCAGCACAGCTGCCTCTGCAGGTGAGTTCCTTTAGGGGCTTCAGTGATTAACTGGGAAAAGAAAATGTGACTATTTTCACACCAAGTTTATAGAGTTTATACTAATTATACATATTTTAGCTAATTGCTAATCATTAAAGCTTGTCCTAATGTGTTTACTTTGAGAAATTTGCCAAGCTGTACACTTATAATTTGTACACTTTTCTATGTGTCTATTTTAATTAAAAGTTTGTATTTTTAAAAATTGGTTGATCATAACAGCTCGAAGGACACATGGACCTTTTGTGGTGCTGGGAAGACAGCATTGCCTGGGAGCCAGATGACTTGAGTTGTCATCCTCACTAACTACTCCTGGCCTAAGATAAACCACTGAGCTTCTCTGAGCCCAAGTAGTTCACCTGTGAAGTGAGGGATTCTAACTTATACCTAAAACCCATTTAATTTTCCGTGATCCAGCTCCTTTTATTAAGAACCTACTAGGCCTTCTGGACACACTGGAGGACAACATAGAGGCATTTCCTGCCCTGGTGGGGCTTACAACCTGGTAAGTACAGACAGACAAATAGACAAGCAGAACCTGCCTGTGATCTGTGCCATCCCCTGAGAGGAGTCACAGGGGCAGTCGGGGTGCTGGGGGAGCCTTGTGGAAATCATGAAAGATGAGCATTAGCCAGGTGAGGCACAGGGGAAGAGTACACGGGAAGCAGGAACAGTATGCCTCAGGTCCTCAGGGGAAGGATGGCAGGTGCATTTAAGGAGCGCAAAGACCTCGGGTAGACCCTGAGCACAGGAGAGGATAAAGGTCTCAAGACACAGCGGAGAAGTAGGGGCCCGCAGCTTATTAAATCTGCCTGCACCTGAACCCTGGCTGAGCCATTCACCAACAGAAGTCTCTGACAGGGAAGAGTGAACATGTAAACAGTTTATAATCAACTTGCCACTTCCTTCTCGGGCCATAAATCCACTTGAGTATTTATTATCTATACCTTGAAGTCTCTTTTTTCCTGACCTCACTTATTTTTCAGATCACTGACAAGCTTTCAAAGAGGCATCTACATGGCTGCACCCATCCACAAACTGTTACTGCATTCTGGCCAATTGCAAGACAGTGGACAATCACAAATGTAAATGGATAAAGCGATATTTACAGTGTGCCAGGAGCTGTTCTAAGGTATTACATATATTAACTCATTGAACCCTTATGACTGGTCTATAAAATCAGTACAAAGAATATTAGTGCCCACCTCATGGGCTTGTCAGGAAAATTAAATATTAGTCCTGTTTTACAGATGTGGAGACTGAGGCATGGAGCAGTTAGTGTCTCAGGTCAAGCTGAGGGTCAGTTTCAAGGCCAGGATTTAAACCCAAGTAGCTTGCTCCTTGAATCCATGCCCTTAACTGTGGTTTTTAGCCTCTTCAGGCTCCTTCTCCCCTTTTCTTCTCAGACTTTTCCCTCCTTGGCGTGTAACTCTTGGAGGCTCCAAACTAACACAAAGCTCTTGAAGGATGAGCACACTTCTGCCCTGTCCCTGACAAATATCAGCAATCCAGTCACCAAGATCCAGAAGTCTTTTCTCAGGCCTCGGTCATCACCTCCGGCACAATGGTTCACCTGAAACCTTGGCTCCTTTGTTTCCTTCAAGGTAGATCTTGTGGACTGATTGTTTGTGCCTTCTCCAAATTCCTTATGTTGAAGCCCTAATTCTGAGGGTGGTTATATTTGGAGATGAGGCCTCTAAGAAAGCAATCACAGTTAAATGAGGTAAGAGGGTGGGGCCTTGGTCCAATGGGATCAGTGTCCTTACAAGCAGAGACACCAGAGAGCCCACCCCCACTCCACTGGGCTCATGCAGCAAGGAAGAAATGGCCAAGCAGCCATCTGCAAGCCAGGAAGAGGGCTCCCACCAGAAACCATATTTGCTGGCTCCTTGGTCATGACTTCCAACCTCTACAGCTACGAGAAAATTAATTTCTGTTGCCTCGGCCGGCCAGCCTGTGGTATTGCACTGTGGAAGCCGTCACCGACTGATAGAGTGGGAAAACCTAGTCCTCCGCCTGCCCTCCACTGCTTTGTCAGTTTTCCTTTCTCCTGTGGTCAGAAGTCTGCAATGAGTGTGGGGCTAAAGTCTGCAATGAGTGTGGGGCTAAAGTCTGCATGTTGGCAGGGCTGGTTCCTTCTAAAGGCTCTAGGGGAGAATTTGAAAAAAAATAAAAGAGGATGATGTGTTGGAGGCCCGGGGGTGGTTCCCTGTGAGGAAGTGCCACTTGAGGTAAGAGCCGCCTGAGGAGGAAGCAGACACGTGGAGAGCTAAGGGGAGAGCGAGAGCGAGAGCGAGAGCGAGAGGGAGAGGGAGAGCCTGGAGGTAGAAATAGCTTCGTGTATTGGTTTCCTGTTGCTGCTATAATAAGTTACCACAAACTTGGTGGCTTAAAATAGCACAAATTTACTATCTTACAGATAGAACTGCTTATTTGTTTCCTTCTTTAACGTCTTTGTGTAACTTCCTTCCAGAATATAAACTTCATGAAGCCAAGGGCCTTGTAGGTCTCACTCCCAGCCATATCCTCCGAGACTAAAGCACTGAGATCAAATATTTGTTGGATAATTCTCTAACTGAATGCAAAAATTATGGGGTAAACTGCTTGATGTGACAGAAAAATTAAATGTTAGAATATGATGTCATGTTCAAATGAAGAAAAGCATGGTACAAAATTATATATACTCACAAGATGTAAAACAAATAAATATGCAGAGAAAGATGACTCACAGAAAATACCTCAAAATGTTAATAGTGTTTGTTTCAGGATGCTAGAAATATGGGTAGGCTTTTTTTTCCCCCTTTTATCTTTATTTTCTGCATTTCCAGATTTTCTGTAGTGAGCGTGTATTACTTTTTAAATGTCTGGAGCTCTGGGTTAGAAATAATCTACCAGGTCATACCAGGTAATGGTTGCCTCCTTCCTGAGTGTCTCCTGATTCCCCTCCCTACCCAGGAGCGATCTCATCGAGCTCCAAGACATCCTCTGTGCCCGTCTGGCAGCCGGCCACACGTTTCTTCTTCTGTTATAGTTATCAGAGAACTTGTCACATCTCTCCTCCCTCTCGGCTTCCTTATTCATCTCTATATTCCCAACAGTATTTCTTTGGCCCTTGGGCTGCACTTCAAACATGCTGCCCATTACCATAACCTTTTATCTCTATCCTCTCTATTCTCCCTGATCCTACTCTCCCATAGTCTAGTGAGTCTAGCAGAGTCTAAATGTAACCACACCTTGCTCAAAGCCTCCAGTGGCTCCCCATCTTCCCTCCACAATTGATCACTTGCTTTCTCCACTCTAGCCACACTGCCCCCCCCCAACCCCGCACTCCCTCCGTGTGCCTAGAATACTCTTCCCCGAGATCCCCCGGACCAGCTCCCTCACCTACCTCAGGCCTCTGCCCAAATATTACCCTACTAGAGAGGTCTTCCCTGCCCACCTCTATCAAAAAGCAACTATTCCTGCCCACAACTCTGCACCCCTCCTACACACATTCACTTTCTGTTTCTCCATAGCACTTAGGACCTTCAGACACACTGTTTATGGTGTGGTCTCCCTCCAATCTAAGCACCATGAGTGAGAGCAGAAACTGTGCATGCCGCTGCTTCCCCAGAGCCTGGAACGGTGTGTGCTATATAGCAGGCGCGATAAATAGTTTTTGAACGAACAAATTACTGAGTGCACGAGATGGATGGATGGACGGAAGGATGGATGGAAGGAAGGGAAGTCCTGTAGGAGGCAGGAAGGAAGGGATAGCTTCAGCAGGGAGAAAGAACATTTACTTCTCTGTAACTGTAGGGACAGTCCAGAGACAAGAAACAATAAAGAGAGTTAGGCTTACAGATTGAAATGGATGGAAGCAGAAGGGCTATAAAGCCAGGCCTGACCTCAAAAGAACTAGTGAGAAGATATGAAACCAGGGAGGAGAGAGAAGGAGGATTTAGGGACTTCCCGTAGAGACAAGTGTTTGTTACAGCACCTTTCCCAAGGCAGTCTCTGCTGCACGCATAGCAATCAGGGGGAGATAGCGTTTGATATAAAATATTAAAGGGAAAGATAAAGTGCATGTCACTGCTAATTAAGAGGCATTAAACATGCTTTCAGAAATCATCTTGTGAAACGAGCTTGTGGGAAGGGGGGGGTCTGACATTTACAAAGATTCCTCTCATAGCTAATTGTTATGGTCTGAATCCTTGTGTGCTCCCAAAAGTCTCATGTTGAGATACTAAATAAAGCCCAATATGATGGTATTAGGAGGTCGGGCCTTTGGGAGGTGCTTGGGCTCTGAGGGTAGAGCCCTTGTGAATGTTCTTATAAAAGACCCCACAGAGCCCCCGACCCTGCCATCACCTGAGGACAGAGTGGAAAAAATAGAGGTCTATGAACCTGGAAGCAGGCTCTCACCAGACACCCAATCTGCCACCACCAAATCTCCAGAACTGTGAGAAATAAAGGCCTATTGTTTATAAATAAGCCACCCAGCCCATGGTATTTTGTCATAGCAGCCCAAATGGACTAAGACACGAACACAGCTAGGCTCATTCTTCATCAGCCCTCATCAAGGCTGTGGTCCTTTGCTATTGTTCCTCCACTATGAATGAGAGCAATGCTTAGCCAAAGCATTCTGAAGGGACCCTGTGCTTTCCTTCTGAACTGAGAGCTAGCTACCAAAATATTCTGCATGCAAATATTGTTTGCAATGGGCAAAAATTCTCTCTCTCGCCTTTCTCAAAGTGGATGTATTCATGTCAGTCTTCAGAGAGACAACGGTAAATAGAGCAACAATATACCAAATGATGACAACAGAGAACAATTATATAGGACTATATACTTTTGATAGGAAAAAAAATTTGAAATTGACTTAGCATTGGAAGCACCTAAAACATTTTACGGATTATAAAAGTAACATTTTCTAAACAAAACTGTGTGGTTCGAAAAGTAAAACACAAGGGGCACCTAGGTGGCTTGGTCATTTAAGTGACTGACTCTTGATTTTGGCTCAGGTCATGATCTCAGGGTCCTGGAATTGAGCTCCACATCTGGCCTGCATGCTCAGTGGGGAGTCTGCTTCTTTCCCTCTCCCTCAGCATCCCCCTCCCCCACCTTGCGCACACTCTCTCTGATAAATAAATCTTTTAAAAAATAAAAGTTCTCAATAAGAAAAAGTTTTAATAACATGTATAATATAATAAAAATAATAATCAAATTGTATCTCAAGATATCCCCGTGAATTAGATCGGAAATCTCAGATCAAGGGACCGAGGCTGAACAAGCTCAGAGTCAGTTAGTGAAGGGTGGTGCCTGGTTCTCCAATCCCAGGCCCCCAATTTCAGAGAGCACCTGGACTAGGGGAGAGGAACAATAATGGCCCAGTGCCATCTTGTCTCTGATTGGCCAAAACAGAGAATGATGTTCCATTAGGGGAAATAAATTTCTTTGTAAATGGATCCAAGGGAAGGGATTCCTAAGACTTTCAAAAAGGCCTTAACAAAGGTCCTAAATAAGGCTTACTTAAAAATGAATTCACTACACAATTGAGAAAATTCTGTAACAGTCACTGAACCGAGGTAGGGGCAGGCAACTCAGAATAAGCACAAGGACTTTCACCCTTGCTCTCTCCTTCCCGCCCCCCTCCCCCCCATCTTCATTTCCATTCTGCTCTCTGAGGACCCTGGGAACAAACAAGCTTGCCTCCTCTGGAACAAGTCACTTCCCCACGTACAAGCAGCTGGTGAATTGCATGACCTCCAAGGGCCATTCCAGCATCAAAATGCTTTTATTGCCCAAAAAAGGGTTGGGCTGTTTTTTTTCAAATACCACTTATTTGTACCTCTCTACCGCACTTCCCTGTGCCAGCCCCCTTTCCTGCCCTGAGCCTGTTGGCATTTTTGACTGCTTTTCACCTCCTCTCCAAACACCCACATTTTACCCTGCCTTCCAGAGCAGCTCAACTACCTTCTCTCATCTGTACCGACTGCTTTGTTAGCCTACGAGAACTCTCCTTCTTCCAACAATATTCTGAGTATCTTTCTCTCTGATTTTCCAGAGTGCCTGGGCGGTTTTGTACCTTCACCTGCCCTGTCCTGCCCCACTGCCCCATAGCTTGCCACACCCCTGCCAAGGCACAGGTGCTGTCAGGGAGGGTGGGGACAATGCCTCTCCTCTTCACCGCCATGGCCCAGCACCCAGGAGAGGGCTAGCTCCTAGTGCTCATTAAATATTTGACAGTCATATTGCTTGTGATTCCAGATACCTAACTTCTCACTTCCTGCTCCCTTGAGAGCCCTGTTAGTACAAGGCTTCGGGGCTGGAAAGCTCATAAATGGGAGTCCCTGATGCCAGGAACTGACCGAATATTCACGGCTAGCTCTCATGATTATTACAAGCTGGTCTGACAGCCAGGCCATTTTGTTTTCCTGCTGCACAGAAACATTCTGGAAGAATAATAACCTCAGACAAGATGCTATAGACTAAATGTGTGCTCTTAAAATTCTTATGCTGAAACCTGATTTCCATGGTGATGGTATTTGGCGTGGGGCCTTTGGGAGGTGATTAGGTCTTAAGGGGAGAGTTCTCATGAATGGGATTAGTGCTCCTTATAAAAGAGGCCCCAAGGAGTTCCCTTGTTTTCTGCCACATGAGGACAGAGCCAAAAGACAGAGGTGTATGAACCCGGAAGCGGATTCTCACTAGACATCAAGTCCGCCTGACCTTGTTCTTCCCAGCCTCTAGAACCATAAGAATAAATTTCTGCTCCTTATAAACCACCCTGTTTATGGTGTTTTGGTACAGCAGCCCAAACTAAGTAAAACCAAGGTGACTCTGACACCATGATAAAATGAAATAAAACAAAGCACCTCATAATTTTGTCTAATCATAAAAATAAGGTCACTGAGCCACCACAAAATACTCCATCATAGAATAGCCCCCACTTTCTGACAGCATCCAATTCAGAGCAAAAGCCTTCTTGCTTCAACCTTCTCCCAAATCATATAACTGAAGGCTACACCCTACCATGCTCTAAGACACCTTGTTGTCATTGGTGATAAGGTATTTAACTACATGTGTGTTCCTAGGGTGGTCTTTGGCTGAAATGCATGGACAGTTATAGGCTGTCATTTCACATTCACTGATATCCACAAACATCTTAGGGGTAAAGTAGTATTATTCCCAATTTACCCCCAGGGAAACTGAAGCTGAATGAGGTCAAGCGATTGAACAGATATCATACAAGGAGACTGCTAGACCTAACCCTGTTCACTTAATATAAGGATCAGTCCAGGCCCTTTTTACAACACCCAGATGTCCTCAGCCACGGAGAATCTCAGTTTGCTTCCTTTACCTTAGAGGTGAAGTCAAACAGCAAAAACACAACTCCCACCAGGAACATTTCTCAGACTTAAGAGGCCTTTAAAAGGAAGCTGAACTCTACAGTGAAGATGAATATTCCAGTCTGGGTGGTAAGTAAACGGATGTCTCTTACCTATATTGTCTACCTCCTTGTGTGTATACAGGTATTTTACCAAAAAATACAATGAACTGAAAACAAAGCCCCCCGGAAAGACACAGGTGGTACTTAGAGTAGCCAGATGCCTCAAGCCTTGCAACAAGCATGACTGGGTCTAGAGCGAGGCACCCATCTCGGGCACAAAATTTAAGGGGCACCCAAAATCTCATTAATCGAGATCAAATCGATTAAAAAATCAAATCAGCAAACTGCGACCCAAAGGCCGGCGCCTGTTTTTGTAATAAAGTTTTATCGTAAGTTCCAGCATGTGTCTACTCAAAAACCAAAGTCCAGCATCAACAATACCAAGCGGCCTCACCGTGTCACTAGTAGTGGCTCTCCCTACCCCACTCAAACAAACACGCTTCAAAGGAGCTGAGAGGAAAGGGAGGTCAGTTCGCCACAGGCTGCCAGGGGAAAGCAGGTGAGAAAGCTCCTGAGCAGCTCTCTGCCCCGCCGCTCCTCTCCCCGCACCGCGGTCCTGCCGCTTTAAATCCCAGGGGCTTGGAGGCGCGCGGCGGGCCGTTGCCCGGGGAGACAGACGCACAATAGCGCGCATGCTCCCAGGCCCGGAACGGCGGCCGCGCCGGCCACTGCGCTAGCGGCCTACCCCCAGCAGCTCCCCGCCAGCCATGGCCAACTTGTACTCGCGTCGCAGCTTCAGAAAGCCCGAGAAGGAGGAGGACAGGCAGGAGGAAGAGGAGGAGGAGGAAGAGGAGGTATTGGTAGAGACGGAGGAGGGGGTGGAGGAGGAAGAGGTGATGGAGGAGGAGGAAGAGGAGGAGGAGGCCCGCGACGCGGAGGAGAAGACGATGGAGGTCCATAGGACGTTCAGCGATGAGTACTTCTGGAAGGTTGTGGACGTCGGTGACAGCAATGGCGAAAATTCAGAGCCCTTCCTTCCCCGCTTAGCCAGCATCGTCAGCCCCAGCCTGAGCCCGACCCCGCCGCTCAGCCAGACGTCGAGCCCGTCGTGGAGCGAGACCCCGAGCTGGAGCTCACAGTGGAGCACGTCCTCCCAGAAAAGTACAGCCCCTGCCCGCCCCTTCCTTCTAGGGCTTCCCGGGCCCTAGGGGCCGCTGATCCCGCGACTCCAGAGCCTTGGTCTCTTCGCGCGTCTGGTTTCTAAATACATGCTCCACTCCACACACAACCCAGTCTACCTCCGGCCCTTCTGTCAAAGGCATTGAAATCTTGGCTGAGCCTTTGTGATGGCTCACAATTTCGGACATCGTTGAAACGCTTGGTGAAACTGGAAGCTTGGGTAGTGCCATACGGAGCGCATTTGTAGTACTCCTGTGTGCATTCACGCCGTGATTGTGTTCTCTCTCCCCACCCCCATTCTCCTCTCTCTCTTTCACGCGCACACACACACACACACACGCACGCTCCTGGAAGACTAGTGCCTTCAGTGTTGTGCTACTAAGACAATCCTGCGAAAAACTCATTTTTGTGTTTAAGTTCCTGTGCTAAAACCACTTTAGTCACTTCCTTTAAAAAGAGACGCAGAACAGTTATTTAGAGTAGGATTCTCAACCTCCCAGTATTGATATTTCTGTCAGGAACCTTCTTTGTTGGGCAGAGGGTGGGAGGGGGCTGTCCTCTGCATTATAGGTGTTTTGTAGCATCCCTAGCCTCTAGCGGGGACTATGCCATTAGCCCCCACTCTACGATAATCAAAAATGTCTTTAGACGTTGCCAAACGTCTCGTGGCGGGCGGGGGGTGAGCAGAAATTGTTCTTTTGAGAACCACTGATTTAGAAGGAGTGGCTAAATTTTTTAATGTTTCATTCAACAGGTTTTCCTAAAATATTTCAGACATTTAGAAAAGACTTGTCTGGAATGAATTTAGATAGGTAAGAAATGTTTTGTTTTCATATTATTGTTGGAAGCTTATGATGTTTACCTCTTGGATAAACATGTCTGGAAATAGAGTAAAATAATCCAGAGCACTTACAACTAATTTATTCAAAAAGGTTTTTAAAAAAATCATACTGTTAGACACTTTGGAAATAGAGAGCAGGTACCTGTCCATCTCCCTGCAGAGATGGCATGTCCTCTTAATATAACATGAAATAATAACACCCTGCCAGGATGGCAATAGCAATGGCTCTGAATGTTCAGGACATAGGTCTCTATTGGCTAAATGAGACGGTGATTATAGACACCTTCTGTGAAGGAGACTGGAAATTATGGTCTTTTTTTTCTCTCTCTCTTTTTCTTATTGTTGTTATTGCTATTAGCCTTCAAGTACAGGAAGACTCCAGAGAAATACCTTTTGGAACATCTTTATAAATCTTCCCTGAAATCTCACACCAAACCTGAGTCCACAATTTTGAATTACTGTTCACCTAAGCTTTGCTTTTACAAGCAACTTTTAAATTCCTAAGCATCAGGAGGATTGTTCTGTCCCATTTTTATATTTTTATTTATCCTTTTAATTCAACTTTTTAAGAAAAAAATAATGTGTACATGGTTAAAATATTGAAGTATACAAAGGTATAAAATAAAAAATCTTCATGCCCTTCTTCATCCCCACAATCTCCATGCCCTTCATCCCCACACTCTCACTCATCAGTTAACATATTATTAACGGTTTGTTTCTAATATAATTTTATTTTTATTTTTTTAAAGATTTTATTTTTAAGTAATCTCTTTACCCAACGTGGGGCTTGAACTCACAACCTCGAGATCAAGAGTTGCAGGCTCTACTGACTTTGGCCAATGAGGTGCCCCTTCAATATAATTTTAAATAGCATATTTTCATTCCCTGATTTATCCATTTTTGACATAATTATGGGCTTCCCACCCATGAAAGATGAGGAATATAACTCATACTATTTCCCTCCTCTTCATTTTTGGTAATTATGTTATTTTTAATTTTTCTAGCCTTTAGGACTTTAAGGTATTTAAGCCTCTACTATCAAATTTATCAACTTTAGTGACTACGTATTAACTCTTATTATGAAAGTTAACACACTATCCTCTCACCCCTTCCTCCTCTAATTAACAACAAATTATATACATTTTATAACAAACTATATTAATGTGTAATATATATTCATATAAAGTCATTTTACTCTGCCAAGGTTTGTTATGTTCATATTATGTTTTATAATCATAATTAACTCAGTACAGGTTAATTCTAAAAATTGAAAACCAATCAACAATATAATTTCATGCTAAGAACCCAATAATGTGATCGGATTCGTGCACAAAAAAAAAAAAAACCCAAATCCTTTGTCAGTAAAACTTGGCTCCTAAAAGGAGAACTTTTCAACTCTCAGTTGTTTTTAATTGTCTTCAGTTTTCCTGAGTTGGGTGCAGTGGTCACACTTTCTTGATTCCTATATTACTTGCTTTCTTCTATTCCTTTTCTCTTGGCTGGAGAAACTCCTCAGGTAATTCTCTCATGCAGATCTCATGAGTAGTCAGACTTCTGAGTTCTTTCCTGTCTGAAGATTTCTTCATTTTACCCTCATACTTAATTAATAATATAACCTGGCATAGAAGAATACATTTAAAACCCTTTTCCTCAGAGCTCTGAAGACATTGCTTCTTTGCCTTCTAGTACCCAGTATTGCTAATCGTTCTGATTCTCAGACACTAGTGATGATACGTGAGTACTTCCTTCATTTGTCTCTGTCCTTTCCTTTAGGACTCCTACTAGATAGCTGTTGGGCCTCTTGGATATCTTCAAGATTTGGGGTGTTTATATGATAATATGCAGCCCTTGAGCAAAAATTTTATTTTGGTATTCATTTTTGTCATTTCGAGGAGCCAGATCTTGTCCTCTTTTGCTTTTCAAATAGTGGTTGCTTTTAACTCTCTTTTGAGAGTACTCTTATACCAAGGTTCTTTTTTTTCAGGGTTAGTTCTCTTTATCTTGGTGCTTCTCTTCCGTACTATTGATTGCCCTTAGGTGACTGGTAATCCTTGGTTATCGATTTGTATTTATAAATGAATGGCCAGTAGGTGGCCAAAATGGCGTCGTTCTGCAGCTGAGTAGTTCCTCACAGGGCTTGCCTGGAAGGTTGGCTGTGAGTCCTATGTGGGTGGATGGGGGGATATCAGAGCCAGCCTCTTGTGGAGTGTCTGCAGGAAGCAGGCAAGCTGGATGCTCCGCTATTACTAGATAAGGACACGTCACTCTGTGGTTGGAGTTCTTCATGCATTTCATTTCTGGATGGAATGTCCCTTCCTCCTTTCTCATCCAGGTCTATTGGGCAGGTCCTCTGGAACCTCATACTGTGCTCTGCTTCTCTTTCAGACCTAAAGCCTCCCCAGAGAGGCTGCCCACTCTTTGTAGGAAGCAGTTCTGTGGGCTTCATCTGGAAATAAAAACAACTGCTCTGTGTCAGGGGAGAAGAAGGGGGCCTGCCTGCCTGCCCAGTTGCTTTGAGTTGACTTCTTTAACTCCGCCGATGGTAGTCCCCAGCTCCCTCCTCGCTGCACTTGGTTGAGTCTCAGTTAGGAACTTCCCAGAAGAATTTGACTTACCTCTTTTGTCTGGAGCTGTGGTGTTCTCCACTCTGGTTTTCCATCAAATGAAAGCCATTTATTTTCATTCTTTAAGGACTTAAATATTACTTGTCTACTGATGACACCTTTCTTATTTTAAAGGGCTATTTTTGTATTTGTTTGTTTGTATTTGTTATTGCAGTAAGATCTTGGAAAGGAAGGGAATTGGGTGCTCAACTGCCATCTTGACCTCAACTTCCTAATATATGGGAACATCTCTTTACTTGATCAAACTCTTAATTTCTCCTCATAAATCTCCCTAAGAAGATGCTTCTTTTATATTTCTAAGCATTCTCTGGTGAATTTGGTGAGACTGTGTTTTTAAGGAAATCTGTTCTTAAAAAGTCATAAAAATGCAACCAATCCTGGCTCACCTTCTATTTTGAATTGCCCCATTACTATTCTGGTTGAAAATGGGGCCAGCTGTAGATGGCAGATGAATGTGGAGAAACACAGGTTTTGAAGCCAAACAGATCCGGACCCCATCTCCATCTGCCCCATGCAATGTTTCAGAAGTTCCCTAGAGCCTCAGTTTCCTTGCCTGGAGAAAGGGACTATTAATACATGCCTTGATTAGTTTTTGTTAATATGAATGAAATAATGTGAGTAAGGCAACTACTGTGAAGGTACTACTACATAGTAAGTTCTCAGTAAATGTTAATTTTGTTATCCTCAGTCACCTGCCATCTTTACACAGAATTTCAGAAACAATCTTTGGGGTTGGTTTAAGAAAGGCAAAGAGACCTTGATGAATAATGTATTGATTTTGCTAACCATTGAATTGGGGAAAAAAATCCAAACATTAAATGTTGTGTAGGGATTGCTCTTTAATAGACCCTTGGTCCCTATAACTTGTTTCTCTGGGAGGTGAGATAAACAGGACTCCCCCAGAGACTTGCACAGGTGGCTTTGGCAGAGTTATTCATCACTTATTACAAGACACAGTCATTTCAGAATTATAACACCCCGCTGATGCAACATGCCAAGGAACCAAGCATCCAAAAAGGAAGGTAGAGACATAAGAGAACTAAGAATGATGGGGGAAAAAAAAAAAGTGACAACCTAAAATTGACTCAATTATTTGAAAAGATTTGATAATTTTAGAAGATCCAGCAAATTATTACAAAAAACTGAAATTCAAAGAGGCAAAGGAACTTGAAGCAATAGATATTATTTACTTGTTACTGGTAACAGTCATTTTAACTAGTAAAAATCAATAAATTTCTGCCTTCCTATCATGTCAGTGATAACTCAAGTAACTGAACTACTTGTAGAAAGAATACAAATTGTTTGATTACAATGCATTTAACTTCAAACCTCTTAAAAAATTTTTTGGATTATTTTTAAGCTATTTAATTGGGGCACCTGGCTGGCTCAGTTGGAGGAGCATAGAACTCTTGATCTCAGAGTCGTGAGTTCGAGCCCCATGTTGGATGTAGAAATTACTTAAATAAATAAAATGAACAAAATGTCTCATTTAAATTCAAGTAAATGCTTAAACACACACATCATCACCACCGCCGCCAACCCACATGCCCAGATATAGTGGTAGTGCTTTATTCCCCGGGGCGGGGGAATGCGATATTGGGAGCCTCAGGGACTTAGGAGTACTTTCCCTATGATGAAAACACGCTGCCTGACTTTACTGAGACATAAGAATGGAAGAAAATATTTCAAAGAAAATAGAAGCCAGAATCTTCTATGTACGTGCATTATTTGACTGTTAAAATGTGCTGTATTTGGAAGAACTGCTAACAACTATATAGGTATACTCAAAACTAACTCTTTGTCTAAACTTCAGGACTATGTATCACACTTTGTATCCAGGAATCCCAACATCAGTACAAACAGAAGAAAGCTGGCTTCAAGAATTTTCTGGCAAAAGGCAGAGGAGTGAGTAGTTTGATTTCTTAGCTTTTGCTGGGCGATAGGCTTGCACACTGGAAAGAGCGTGGCTGGAGGTGGCGGGAGAGCCAGGTTTGAATCCCAGCCCAACACAAACTGACCTTTGCCCCACAGAGTCTCAGGCTCTTCATGTGCTGGTAATAAGAATAATACTTCCATCACAGAATTGTTAGGAAGATCAAAATGAGATGAAATCTTTAAACTCTTTGGCACCTAACCTGTGATAAATGCCAGCGTTTATGTTCACATCAAGAAATAATCTGCCTTTACGTTTTGATACATATCTTCATTTTTTTATTAAGCAACATGCATGCTGTTTCTAAATGCCAACCATTAAGAAATATGTAATATAAAAGTAAAAATTTTAATTTATCTCAGTTTAAGGAATTATGAATAGCCCTTCCTTTGAACTTTTCTATTTTATATTATGTCACTTATTCATCAGATGCTTATTGAGCACCTACCACATGCCAAGCACCCATCATAGTCCAAGCCCTGTTTTAGGGAAATGGCAATGAAAAAAAACAAAACAAAACAAAACCCCTGTCTCAGTGATCTGGTATTAAAGTGTGGAAGGTGTGGGGAGTGGTGAGATAGATAATACACAAAATAAGCAAATATGTAGTACATTAGGCTATAGACGTGCTAAGGAGAAAAAGCAGAGGAAAGGACAGGAGATGTTGGGTGGGAAGGGTGCAAAGTTACATGGGGTGCTGAGGGAAATCTTCACTGAGAAGCTAAAATTCTTGAGCAAAGACCTCAAGGATGCGAGAGACTGAGCCAGGATGATCCCTGGGGAAAGATGATTCCAGGCACTCGGACTAGCGCGTGCCTCCTTCTAGAACAAGGGGGCAGTTGGTGTGGTTGCAGCGAAGTAAGTGGGAGGAGAATCTGAGGGGAGAGGGTCAAAGGCACAATTGAGGACCAGATCTTTTTCAGTGGGAATGAAGTGGAAAGACGCTAGAGAGTTTGCACAGAAGAGTGACACAATCTAACATAAAAATGGACCAAATACTAAAAAGATGTTAATAATTCCCAAATTAATCTGCACAATGTAACTCTGATGGGATTTTTCAATGGAATGTGACAAGTTGATTTGTTGCCCTGGCTTAGCAGTGTTAAAAGACAAACTGAGGCATTTTCAGATTTCTGAGTTTGAGCAAACATGGATTGAAACAGAGCAGTGCCCAACAGGAGATAGTTAGGAGCGCTCCCCAGACAAGAGAGAGGGGAAAGGTTCTTTTTTTGTTTTTTTTTTCTTAAGATTTTATTTATTTGCGAGAGAGACAATGAGAGACAGAGAGCATGAGAGGGAGGAGGGTCAGAGGGAGAAGCAGACTCCCTGCTGAGCAGGGAGCCCG